ATGAGGGTTACCGGCCATTACATGCTGATTCTAGATGAACTTCATTTTTAACTTACTAGCTCGCTCTTTCACGTCATACTCTTCTAGATTGTTTTGAGCGACCTTTCGATAAGTACAGCTCCAAGTTTGTTTGTTTTCTAGATTCTCACCAAACACACACTTTTTCGAATCCATACCACTTGCAGTGGTGTACCTGCATATCTAATACTAGGCAGGTACGATTGTACTACTCTTAGTATTTGCTGGTTCCCAACTGCAACGTAAAGAAGCTACTTGATACGAACTTCCTTCCTTGCTGCAGACTGCACCACGAAGTGTCTCTGAACTGCAACTTGCGGTTAGGAGACTCAGGTGATGATGTTCTCTCATTCTGGCATTTTTCATTTCCAAAACAGCTATCTACTTGGCACTAGCAACTTGGAATTCATTCCCGAATGGATTGGCGCCTCGACAAGGCAGAGGTAACTAGTGTGGTGCTAATAGCGAATCTAGTTTTCTTACTGACATACACGTCTTGCAGCTACCTTTCACTGCAGGAGTTGCAGCGTCCAATGGAGAGCAGATTTACAAACCGATCGTTATAAAAGACGCGCTTGTTCATTTCAGCTGCCACCGCAGACTCAACTTTGACTCGTTGCTTCCCGTGTTTATACCAGCAAAAGATCGAGTACTGCGTCAACATTCGAACTGAGGGTGTCATGGATACAACTGCTAACATGCAAACGTTTTTTTAATTGCAGGTTTTTGAGAATGTATTCCACTCAACCAAAGACGTTGATGACTTTATTGAGATGTTGCCGGTAAAGGAAATGTACGGTATGAATGTCGACCATTCCAAGGATCCATACAGCGGCTACTACAGACATCACTTTGTGTGGATGGTACGCTGGCTGCAGCTGTGTATGGAGCTTTCAGAGGTACGAAAGACCAGTCTTAAATTCGTATATGTTATGATGGTACTAACACCTTTTCGTTACTACAACGTTTAGATAACTACCGAAATGATACGTGACCGAATGCAATACCTGAAAACATTTCTTGTCGAAAAAGCAGAGATGCTTGATGTCAAAATTGAAGTCGACATCCAGATGGCAGACGTTCGGAGCACCGAACAGAGAGCTCAAGCTTGGAATGAAGGTAAAATCTTGGAGAACGCATTCAGCAAAGTTAATAACTTATGGATTGCGATGAGCGAAATTGACATTCTCGCGGATCAGTTCGAATATATGGATATACGAGAGCCATGCACGTGCAGCAAGTGTGCCTACTATCGATCGCCATTGTGGGAGCAAGAGCAATCTGTCGTTTTGACATATGATGTGCTACCTCCAAGCGAACCCTACCATTAACTAGAGAAATGGGATGAGAAAGAACGGTATTATTTGCATAAATACCTAAACTGAATGAGGCAAAGGCAACCTGTACGAGCTGTGGCTCGAATAATAATAAAAATAAACAATTTGGTTCATATACAGTGACATGAGGGCAGAGTATGAAAGTCAAATTGTCGTATGATCGATCCAGAGCAGCACACAGGACAATAGTTTCAACACTCAAAACGATATTTACAATACCAGAGCGCGTGGTAACACAGCACCACACAGATCACCGCTCTACTCAGATTATTCCCACAACGCCGGTGCATTTCCACTTCGCCATACAGGGTACCTACTTGCTACTTGACTTCTGCAACTGAGGAATCAACGCTCAGCACTACGAATGTGAGGGCCTGCCTTCCAAAATCGGGTCGCACACTTGCCTCCTACAACGACTACCGACGTGCGCCTCGGCGACCACATAGCGGTGCACGCATCGTGGAAGAGGCGATGATTTCGAACTGGGCGAAGAATACGAGTGTGGCGGCGATATCAGAGGAGCCGCCGCCACACTCGTATTCCTTGCCCAGTCCGGGCACATGTTGCCAAAGGCCCCGAGATGGCGGTCATCGACAGGTTGATGATCGACACCAAGGGGGACGTCATGATGACGACAACGGCGCACCATGTGTGTTGCTGCGCCACCAGCAAACGCTTGTGTCTTGTAGCTGATGGTGCCTGCACCACGTGGCGTTGTTTACTGTCCTTGGCGTCTTTTTATGCGTTCACGATACTCTGCATAACGCATTTTTTTTGGAAATTAAACAGTGCCGAACGTGATTCCGACCAATCAGACCGTTCGAAAGATCATTGTACGAAAAATAGCAATAGCCAATTCCAACCAAAACGTACCTAAAAAGATAACTGGAGATGTCATTGTAAAACCCAGAGCATAATACTACACAAATTGGCGAACGACATGCTGTGGTAGAGATCTAACTACTACCTCCAGGATCAAAGTTAGGATTACCTTTTTTGAGGATGTGGTCTTGAAGCGCATAGCCACATAACTACTGGCTTACATTTCCTCAGGTACGCTTTTCTACGTCAAAACGGACCCGACAAAGGAGCATACGCTGTCGGGTATAACTACTGCAAGGTAATTGGTCCTCATAGCAAAAATAGGTACTACCCATAATCGAAATAGGTAGCCATACGCGTATATTAAAGATCACTTTGCTAGCCAATCAGACTGCTAGAATCATCGGAATGCTATTTGATTGGTCAAACCGAGGACATCGGCGAAAACGTGACTTCAACATTGAAGCTCGCAATGTTTTGGCGCGAAACAAGCCGCTTTGGAGGGTCAACGATTCAAACTCGCGTGCGGGGGCGTCGAGCGCGCGCCAAGCCCCAACGAGTCTCATTCCGCAATTTCCTTTCTTGTGAACACTCGGGTTCATACCGACTGCCCCCACCCATCTCTGCTAACCCACCCGCCGCCTGACACTGACCGATGTCACTACCATTGCACGCTGACTGACACCACCGAAATCTCTGGTGGAAATGCTGCTCGATTCCCATGCTGTCGTCACGCTGGTCCACACATAAGTTGCTAACGCCGACAAGTCGCTGTCGCCACGCCGGTCCGCACGCTGTACGATGCTAACGCTACATGGGCGCCGAACGTCAGTCATACATGCTGCCCGTTTGGAGCGATACCGTTGCTACACTGGCCGCTGCATTCCCTAACCGATGTGAACACGAAGCGTCAGCGGCAACAACAATCATGCGCGGTAGCTACTACGACGGTTTGTACACGGTGTGGCTGGTGATTAGACTGCGAATTTCCGACTATTGTCCATTGTGTTGGACCTGCAGCGATTGCTACACACGCTGCTCGTCAAACGCCAATTCATCTTGTCGGCAGGCACGGAACAGTGCGAGAGGATGTAGCCTCTTTGCTAGTCGTTGGCCACCTTGACTAATGCAAATTCGTCCCACCAGCAGCCACTTGCACCTCGCCGATGGTCTGGGAGAAAATGCAGTTCACGATGACTCGCAACCGGCCATATGGACATTTGACGCAATAATATCTTCACGTTGAGAGCTACCGAAGCGTGGTTTGTCCTCAAGCTTGCAGTGTAGTGTGGGTAGTTTTGCTTACAAAAATCTGCACCAACCAAGTATCTATAAATCCACTTCTCATTTTTTTTTCATATAATCAAATTGCTGTACCGATGCGACACCGGAACTAGTGACCAGCGGTCACGTGAGCCACGTGAGCCTAACGCGTAGTCCTCTTGCTTGCCTTTGATCGGAGGAAAGGTGCCTGCATTTTGTATATCGAAGAGCTTCGCATGAGATGACCTTCGAGATTGTAGACCAGATTAGGCAGATAATATCCATAGTACTTCTGCCAGCATGACCATGACGCTTCTTGACAAAGATGTGGCTGGATGTATCGAGTGGGTAGGTGCTTTCGCACAAAGTAACGTTGTGCTTTTCGCAGTAATCTTCCGTTTGGGTTGGATTCCTGCATTTACTGCCATACGCAGTATATTCACACATTGCACGACGCTTCCATCGACTTTGATCTTGTTCTTCTTGATTTCACTGTGACATTAGCATCTTATGTCGTCGTCACATAGATTTAAATGCCGTACGCCTCTAGATCCGTCTTGCCGTCCAAGGTTATCGCCATGGCCACCTCCGTCGTGTGGTGTGGCCGTCGATTGTTGTTATCGTGAGTCCCAGCTTGCTGTCGATGACGGTGGTGTTGACGGTCGTCATCTCCGGCGGGTCATGGACAAAAAGCACCTCGTTCGTCTGTTGCTGCCCCTCCGGAACCGACAACGCACTCGTATTCATCGCCCTGGTCGCAGTACTCGCCCTATCCGCGGGTGCACGTGCCACCGCTACGTGATCGTCGACCCGTATGTCGGTATCCTCAGTCAGTGTTTCCATCCATCGACGTCTCGGTCTCGGTTCCGTAATGAGGGCAGCCTCGGGGAATCTTTACCGTATCTTTTAGATGTTAGACGCCAACAAATGATTTTCTTTGCTGAAATCACTATAGAGCGCTTCCGCTAGTATGTATCCCTCCCCCCTCGTCGAGGGCTTCGAGTGCATTCTTCGGTGTGCCACACAACACCGTAACGTAAGAGACACAATAAAATTTGAGGTGAAATTTAGACTACGCTTGCGTTCTAAGTGGTAGATATTGGTGCTTGCGACAGTTGGGTTGCCACCGTCTCAGAGAATTTCATATATCAAAATACGGTGTAATACGTTATTTAATACAATAAACGATTTGTCTATTTGACAAAACCAGGACGGATAATTTAAGAGACCCACCCACTTTTGCTAAATCATACTCTATGTATTTTTATGGAAACGAAAGGGTTAATAATGCAGAGACCTCATCTGCTAAGAACCAAAAATGATCGACAGGTGGGCCAGGAGCATGGGCTATTATGGTACTTCAAACAAGTGCATAATGGTTTGTCTTAGATTCTGGAACGGGATCTGGTGTCAGGGGGTCAACGGCGTGTGAATTGGCGTTGAATCACAACGCCACTTCACATTCTGCCAGACAGCGCACAGGTGACATCGTAGGTTGCTTGCTTACCGCTTCAATCGCGCCTAACTCACGTTTTATAAACGATTTATGCAGCCGTAAATCTACAATGGCCAACCGTGGGATGTTGCGACTACGGGTGGAGAGGATGACCAAGCTCGTCTGCACGATACGCGTATTGAACTTGCTCGCGGCGTGTTTACAGCTTGCAGCGGGTGTGAACAGCCTCGTTGGCATTTTTCTTCTTGACGTGTCCGAGTTTCTCATTGCTGTCAATGCCATCGTCTTCGCTCTGCTTCTGGTTTGCTTCGAGTGTCACCTGAGCGTGACCGACAACGTCCTGCGCCCAAACTTCGGCTTCCTCTACGGCTACCGAGGAATGACAACATACCTTGTTTTCGTCGGTTTGATGGACCTTGGGATGATCGGTCACGTTTTCGGCATAATCGCCGGAACGCTGGCTTGTATTAACGCCTGCCTCGTTGTGTTTGTTGGTGTGTGTGCCCCACGCAGTGCTATCGATTATCCAGCAGTCATCACAAGTGCGACTGTGCCCTCCTACGGATCCACTTCGCAGATGCAGGGCCCTATTGCCTTTGCTCTCGCTACTGATGCCTTGAAAATGGGTAAAGCGGTCCCAGCAAGTGTACATGCGGTCGTGTGATACAGCAAAGAACGATTCTACTACGTAGCATTCGGATACCGTCGACTCGCGGCTGACATATATACATTGCAGGAAGGCATGGTAGATATATTAATAATAAGTGGGCATACTGTGTCTCCACAAAAAGACTGGACTTGTCACGAACGAGGGTAGCAACGCAGTGTCGCTCGCCTAGAGATGAAAAATGATTAAACACGTATTCGTACACTACAGTACATGTAGATTCTTTCTATTAACACCTGCGCCATGAGTTTGAGCGCGCAGGCTATGGAGACAACAAGAGCCGCGATGACGAGCGACATGATCTGGGTTTGCCAGGAAAAAGTGATGCTGTAATTCATGAGCGTCATCTCCTTGAACGACGTGGCGTCTTCCTCACCCATGTTGCTGACAATTTCGCGGCGCGAACCAGTTGATACAAAAGACGAGTGGTGCCTCTGGAGTCCACGACTGTTAACCGTCCGCAACGGCATTACCTGAAGGCTGTGACGTTCATACCTGTCGTCAATGTCTCCGAAGGCTGCGGGGCTCGTGTAGGAGTGCAGAAACTCGGGTGTGGAGCGGCGGCGATTGACCTCCGAGATGCTCTGCACGTTGGCGTGTACGCAGTCGTCGCAGGTGCGCACGCTCTTCTTCTGGAATAGAATGCGCTTGGTGGAGCAGGTGCCGCAAACAATCTCACCGCATAGGCGGCAGTGGTGTTTACCCGCCCAGAGGCGAAAGCTGCGGTGGCAGTTGGAGCAGCTCGAGCGTGACGACTTGGGTACCCAGTGCGAACGATGACATAGCGCTGCAGCCTCCATACCCATTGCTTGCGCCGACATGCGTCGGAACAAACTACCAGGCGTTACGCGCGCGATGCGGGCCGAGGGCGACGAGGCTTCTACAGCGATCGCCATCACGTGACGACGAGGAATCTGGATACACGGATGCGACTGCGGGACTGAAATCGCTTCTGCAGTATTGGATAGGGGCAGACTGAAATGGAAAGTGAGCGCTGAAAGCCTGGACAACAGAAATTGAAGCAGGTGGAGTTGCTGTACGCTGCCGCGTTGTGTGGAGTTGCAGTCTGCGAGTGCTGCAGTATTTGAGCCACAGCTGGCAGAGGCAGTGCACAGCATCCGGACGCAAAAAGTGCTAGACTCGCCGTTACACTGTAGCTTACACTGTAGCTTACAGTGTAACGGCTAGAGATACAGAAACTGGAAAGGGAAATTGACAAATCCTGGTACAATTTACAGTTAATAAGCACTTGCCAGGTTATGGCAGATCCTGGTACTGTACAGTGCGCGTCGTAATTATAGCCGCACCTGAAAAATAGAGCTCTTGCGCCAGAAACTGAGAGCTGCCTGCAATCGAAGGGCTCGGAGGCCGTCTTAAAGGGATAGAAGACTTGTGCAGCAAGCGAGGTTGAAAACGACTAAGTCGGCTTGGAGCCAGGAGGCAAAATCTGGTTTGAGGTCGGGTCAGAATTATAGCCGCACTTGGTAATTTAAAATTCAGTAAAGTAATAAACAAAAATGATTGACTTTCAAATGTAATAAATGAGACCTGTGGACAGCCGTGTGAAAGACCTTTTAGAACCTATTCTTAGATTCGCAGGGAAGCCAGAAACGATGCCACGAGGCAAGCAGCTAACCGAGGAGGAGTGCATGATAATAAACGAGCACTACAGAGGCGGAAAAAGCATGTACTATGGCTAATTATTTTCCAGATCCTGGTACTCTATCAACAAAAATATCCTACACGGCGCGCGACTGTGGAGCAGTCTCCTGGTTGCTCTTTTTCTCTAATGTTGAAATGCGGTTTACCTCAACAAAACAGAACGGAAGGTTTCAATGCTGCTAAACGTACTTGTGCTCCTGACGCTCGAGTCCTAACGGCAGCGTGCTACCTGAAGATGTGTATTCGCACGGGAGAAGTCTAACCCATTTTCTGTAAGGCCAATATCACCATTGTTTTTTTTCTTTTGCTTCTTGCTCCTCTGCAATCTCACACGACACATTGGCGACTTGTTGAAGACCAATAGATCGTTTGTTTAACTAACCAAAATTTAATACCGGTTAGAAAGTTATAAAGCGGTCTTTTACCGATGTTCGCATTTTTAAACCATTAGAGACAAAATCGTTCTATTCGAGAGCGAGCTGATGGATATGAACGTTCGTTGGTACGGCATCACCGAAGCCAAACACCGACAGCCAGACACAAGACAAGAACTAGAGCGACCGCCCGGCTGTATTAAAATGTTTGCACAGCGTAATTTAAATGCTGAGATTTTAGCTAAAAATTCTCGTGAGGCGAAAAGAGAATGGCACGTGAGGCCAACGCAGCAGCAACTCTTCCTGCTCTGAAACTGTTGCTCTCGCTGAATGCGCTCCGCTGGAGCAGCCAACCAACATTCAATTTTCTGTATGCGAACACTGTCGCTTCACCGTAGCAATCGGAGAGGACACGAAACTAATCTGTATCAGACCAAAGTAACCAACAAATTGGTTTGAAATCCTTTCCATAAAAGTACCAGGGTCTGGAAAATAATTTAGCCAGCGTACCAGGGTCTGGTGAGGATGATCAGAATCTGGCGAGTGCTATTGAATAGAACCAGAATCTGTCAATTTCCCGCAAGTATGGCTTGAGGCAGCATTTGTTCGTCATTTCCAATAATGCCTCATCAAAGGCAGTCGGTTAGCAGTGAGCGTACGCAAGAGGTGATCAAGTGCACTAAATATGTCGTTTAAGGACCTACTGTACATGGAAATAACGCTTGGAACGAGTCGGACCGAGTCGAATGCACTCGCTTTGGTAGCCCACGTATGCCAAGTGTTGACACCGTTTGCGATTGAGGCCTCCGCGCGTGGCGAGACACGGATGAGGCAACAATCATGCGGAGCGCTGAAATAGCAGGCTTCTCGAGAGACCCCTCGTCGTGGTTTATATCCAAGCACGATGTGATTGGCGCTAAATTTCATGAAAAGTGGTCGAAGGAACCGCACATGGACGAATACGTCGATCTGTTAAATCCTTTAGGGTTAAATGATGCGTTAGACGATATTAACCTGGTACACTATCATATCAGCAAGGAATAAAGTCCTCACCCGTTTAAAGTCCTCTCTATCACTTTCGGCCGGCACTATTACATATAGTCCGGACTCTAATAGGGCGCGTCCGTTACATGTACATGTACTAGTATTTTCTGAGCCACTGAACATGTATTAATAGTACATGTATTACAGATAGCGGGTATGCGACTAATATCTACAGTACAAGTATTTTACATTAAAAAATGAAACTGTCATAAAAATTAATTTCGGGACATTAGTAATTTGATGCCTAAGCGGCGAAAAGTGTTTCTCTCTGTAGAATGGATGGTCAGCAAGTTTGTAATAGCAGATTTGGTAGCTTTTATAAGGACTCTATACAGGAGAGGCTTGTATTTAATAGTGCAGGCATGTAGCACCCCACAGGACACTATTCGGTAGGGGGCTTTTATTCGGGCGCGTCCGTTAGCATCCCCGTCCTACCACGCTAGCGCAAAAGACAAAGGATGATTGTTCGACGAAGCTGTATTTATACTTGCTCATAATGCTAAGTCTGATGCACATTAATCATAGAATAGCTCGCTGCCGCTGGGGGCGTCGAGTGAATCCGCAGCAGCAAATATGTTTCCCCATGTGACACACGGTTCAAAGATACATGAACAGTACATCAGTCGGTGTACCACGATGCAAAGAATGGCTACATCCGTCGATTCATCTCCATCAAAACCACAGACTTGAATCCGTTACTAAGGCCCATACCTGTACCTGAATACCCCCGCACTGCTACCGCTTCGTCAGCTAGGTTAGAGGGAACCCACCCTCCTCTGCCGCGAGAGAGGGGCCTCGCTCAGCACTAGCACCTGTAGTATCTGGGAAGTGGAGCTTCGAGTCCAAGTCGGCGGCATCGCGCACCACCACGTTGATCGGGGGGATGCTGTTCTCCTTCTCCTCTTCGCTGCAAGTACTGGCGCTCTCGCTTGCGACCGTCAGCAACTTCGTCTCGTCAACCGAACTATCCTCTCCGTTAGGACTAGTATCAGGTATTTTCGTATCTACCACCTTTGGCAGTATATCCTTGTCGTTCCTGGACGGCACTGATGCTGGAACCAATGTAGCTGCTGTTCCAGACTCAAACATGTCAAGTACGCCAATCAGCGCTGAGCGTGCTATCTGAAGTGACTCAATGTACTGTCGCAACTCCTCAAAGATAGGCTGGATTTCGTCGTCGTGCACCTTCTGGTTCGAGATCCACACCAACCCAGTCTGAGTCATGCGAGCAAAGCACGACAACGATCGGTGCACATATTGTCGGTAGTATGAGATCATACGTCGCGCGCGTGGCTGTCGGGGCTCCTGCATGACGATCGCATACTCAGCGTTATGGTTCAGGTGAGTGAACGGGATCGGGTGCAGCGCCTCGCAGCAGAAGTCAAAGCGCTCAACCAGCGCCTTCTCTACCATTCGACGCTCAGATGGGTCGTCAATCTTGAGGAAAATGGGACAGTTCAGCGGATGAAGGTCCAGGTTGCTCGAAATACCATTCTCAGTCACTCTCTGTAACTCCAGACCGAGTTGCTTGGCGCGACGGCTGATTGCTGTGATGAGATCATCGACGAGGGAACTGCGGCAAACAAGCCACTGAATCTCCACGTGATAGCATTGCGTTGGCAAAACTTCCGTGTCCACTTTCGCTATCACCCAATTCTGACTCGTGACGGCATCATTTGTATGCAGCAACATCTTAACACTCCGCTGACCCACTCGCTTAAGGGCATCAGCACCGCTCGTCGACATGTTTTCTCTCCAGTCTGTCGAGAGCTTCACATTAGGGAACCTCGTGCTTGCATCTGCCTTGGCTCGCAAAAAGTCCAGGAACTTCCGACAGCCTTCCGTATAATCTCGCAGATTGTCTGTTGGCAAGTAGTCAACACACACACACACAGCATCATTCACCTATCGTACAAAAACAAGTAAAAGACATTATTCCTCTTACCTTGATCGCTGACATCAGAGCCACCTAGTCGCGGCGGGAGAAGACAAAACAGGCTGCGTTTGTAGCGGATTCCTTCACTCATATCATCAATGTATCCGCAGATGAGCTGGTCAAGATGGTTCCACTGGTATTCGATCTGCGGATACTTGCGGAACTCCTGGGCGACAGTAACGAACCGATCGACGATAGGCGACCAAAGCGAGTATCGATATTCCATAATGTCCACATCCGACCGTGTCGTCACCTTTTGGAGATAGCGCTTGACATCGATCGTCTGGGTTTCTTCGTTGTGTACGATTTCATGGATTCGATGGCCCATGCTAAGGCGATAGACTGTGCCATCTTTTTCGCCGACTTCACTCGAGTCTTCCGCCGAGACGAGCTGGAAATCTTGTGATAATCTCTGTGCTACCATCTCCAGAACCAACTCACGATAATCGCGGAACGTCACTCCGTTTCGCTCGTCGCGCTCAGGCAGCATGACGCTGTAGAAAGACTCGGTGTAGTGTGCTTGCAACTCTTTCGGAGCTGGCATGAAATCACTCGCTAAAGGCAAAAGAGCAGGAAAACACAGACTCCTCCACTTCAACACGTTCTGAGCAAGCTTATACTGGCGGTCTTCATATGGTCGCACTTGACTCCATCGACGCTGATTGCTGGTGAGTTGCTTTAACATGAATGCTTGGGAGTGAAATATGTCTTCTTTTACTGCACCCTCAGCAGGACGCAACACCGGACTGGTTGTGAACGACGTATGGTTTGGTGCACTGCCGTCACCCAGCTGAAACGTGTTCGGGAACGAGCTTGAAGTAATCCTCGGTTTGTCATCCAGCGAGCCCACTTTAGCCTCTAAACTTCCTCGGTATTCAGCCATGTCAACATTCAGTGGAGATGGTTCTCGCTGCTCGAAATGACGCCAGCGAGTTTCGGCACTGTTGCTACTCCCGTTGTCGTTTGCATTGCCCGCTGAACTGGAGTGAAATCCAATAGTTCCTGTTCGTTTTTTCAGCAGATACGACATTCCAGGTCGGAATGGCGGCGTTGACGCTAAGCGGACACTCATGTCGCTGTCGGATGATTTCTGCGCCAGTCTCGGCGCTGGAGCAAAGCCAAACACTCCGTCGTCGTATCTTTCGTACTCCTGCAGTAGCTTATTCTGTTCGGTATAGGAGAATGATCGGATTTTGGTCACGACTTCTCCGTCATACAATAGAGAGTCCTCTGAGCACGCCATGGAAGACGCTCGAGCGCGGACAAGGTCGCTATTCAGACCCGCAAGAATGACGTTGTCGTATGTAGAGCAGCTAACGGAAGGAGCTATACGAGAACCCATGTTGTCGCGATCATCGTCGCTGAGGGATGATTCAGCTTGTTTAAAGGAATGTAGCAAGCATTCCAGTGGCTTCGGAAGCGACAGGAAGCCGAAATGTGTAAAATCGTTGTCCTTAAACATCCGACACATCGGGAGTGGCTCAAACATTTTGTTCTTCGAGTTCTTTGGCGCGCAGACGTCACAAAACTGGGTGATGTCTTCATCTAGCGGACACTCATGCGGGATGAGCATGTTTTCTTGCACAAACCATAGCGGAATCCACAGCGGAACAATATAGTTTTTCCGGTTTTCCATCCTCTGCAAGCAATACTTGCACAGCTGGCCAGTTCGCATTGACGATACGCCAGTGTCTGCTGCTGCTGACTGCGAGTCGGAAACCACGTCGCTTGAGCCTGTTCGTGAGCGTCGTTGATATCCATTCTTTGAACCGTGCAAATTGTTGTTACACAGACACAGCTCAGTCGCAGGGTTGCCTTCTTTCTTGCCAGGCAGCTTCATTTCTGACAAATCGGACTGCTTGAAGAGAAATAGCGGGCACTTGTGCAGAGGGCGAGACGCCAACGAAATCAAGTCAATGCCAATACCATGATCCATCATGCGCTGCTCTGTGATCTCGGAAAGACGCTTGTTTACCGAGAAAATGCCGTTACCTGGGGTGATAAGCACAACGCTTTGCCCGCTACGTGATAAATCGCGGTCGATGTGATGTTTTTCGAAAATGTTGAGCACAAGATTCACAGCTTCTAGCAGATTTCCATCACGAGCATTAGAGGGGACACCTGGACGTGGGCCAGACTCGTCCTGAATTAATTCCGCAGGGGAGAAGGACGAAACGTAGAAATCTGCTGGTGATCGCCAACCACATTTCCTCGGGAACGCGTTCATCTCCTCTTTGAGCTTCACAAGCAACGGCTGAACGTCTGTAATGATACTGTCAAATGCGACCAATTTGTAAAAATCCTGATAGTGTCTGCCGTCTTCGTCGACTCCAACCGAGAAGCAATCACTCCGTTCATACGGGAAGGACGATTCTCTCTCATCGTCCGCTGTACGCGATTGTTTTCTTTTGGGCATAAATCTTTGGTTCGAATACGTTGAGCAGTCTTTATTCTGATCCATTTCGGGGTAAAAACAGCGGGAGTAAAAGAGAATTGTAAGACTGTGCGAGACTTTGTGCTTCATCCACTTCTTCAGCACATTTCGCACCACCGTGAGGAAGATTTCCAAGTAGAGCATACCAGAGTTAGCCATGTCCCACATCTCTGGACTAATTTGCACCAGCCACATGATGCGCGACGTGCGCGAGCGGAATGTGAACTTTGTATTCTCCGAGATGACTCCACTGCGCACCTTTTCGCCGCCTGAACGCACGTCCAGCACCTGCCATCTCGTCCCCTGTACTCTGATTGTCTTTCCCACGTATAGCGCCGTGCCCACCATGGACTGCTTGAGGTACATGAGGTCTCGTCTGGACATGAATTGATCCTTAAGTGAGACCTCCACGAAGTCCGCCTCGACCTGTGTCTTGGGCAGAAAGCGTACGGTCACGTCCTTAAAAGGCGCCAGCTGAAAGATGGCAGCCGTGTCCTTCAGTACGCTCACTTGCATCTTGCCCTTGAATGGGGCGGCACTGCTCTCCGGGATCTCAAGCAGTAGATGGTTCTGTGGGGATCCCTCAGCCAAGGCGACTGCCGCGCCGTCCGAGGCCATGATCTGCCGCACGTCGCCAATGTGCTCAGGGTGGAAAAGTTCTACTACATAATCCTTCCATATAAGCTCCTTGAGCTGGGGGAAACTCTCCGGGTTGAGCACGATTTCCTCACCGTTCTGGAACTCGTGGCCATGGACGTGAAGTTTGATCTGAGCCGCCGCGTGCACCGTCGCCTGTCGCTTTTTGGGTGCGGTGGTGGACGCTGCGGTGGCTTCTACGGGACCTGGAGATCTAGTGGACGTATTTGCCTTCTCTGCGGCCGCAGTGGCGGCGGTCGCCTTGGCCTTGGCGGCGCGCCGACGTTCGTAGCGCCTACGCATTGCTGTTCGGTATTATTCTATTACAATTCGGAGTGTAAATCGGACTACACGGGAGATGGCTACATTTGTCGCTTGCTACGTCGCCGACACTAACGTTATACAGTATCCGCTACATTGTATCTTAATTCATGTCTTAGCGAGAATTCAGCAGGATCCTCGACGTGGCCAAACTGACGAGGAATCTTAATTCTCCATCGCCTCTTGGTGACAAACGAAATGGCCTCCACTGGCCTTCCTCTCGTGGTGCCAGTAACCCGCTATCTATGCGCGCTTGCCACCCTTCCGGTTCTTCGCTGAGTTCACAATAGCCGACACCATCCTAACGCAACAAACAAAGAAAACGTGTTATTAATAGTAGCGAGAAACAAGCAGGTGTCGATTCTATCAGGAGACTGGGCGCACCAGAACATGCCGTAGACAATCTGGAGACCGTAGAAGACCGTCCTAGCAATAGACTCCAAACGAGCCTGCTGCAGATTCTTGAAACGCAGAATTTCCGTTGGGTCCATCATGTGTTCATTCCGCACGACACTGCAGTAAATATCGACGACAGTATTAGTATCCATTACATTCCTTTTTAAGAAGCGCTTAACAGAAGGAGACAGCACACTCACCGTCGGATGTGCCACGCTGCAACCGGGATATTAAGCAGAAATACCCACGGAGCCCACGCCAGCAAGCACAAGAACATGAGGATACCGTGCAGGATCATCTCCGGGTCTATCGCAGCAGAAAGAAAGTAAATTTATTAGCAAAAAGCATACGTGTTGTGCCCAACAATAAAGCAGCACATGCAGAAGTATACATACAAACGAGCTTGTTGAGGCGCTTGGCCACGTCGGCCGGGTTCAGATGGTCCAACTCCAGTTCATCGAGGGTGATTAGCTATGCAACCAGAAGATACTTCGGTCAGTGACAGCAGCTTTTATAGAGAGCGAGCTATTGAAGGGGGCGGTGGGGCGAGACGCACCCAGTAGCCATTGAGGAAAGTAAGCGCCACGATGTCGATGAAGCTCAGCACCGCAACAAGAACCTGCATCTCGCGTTACGCTCCCAATTCGCGATTTTTGACTGGAATCCGTCAAAAGGTACCACGGGGCCCGCTTTTCGACCCGCGGGTTTCGAACACCTAATATTTAGAGCCCCCGGCCCGCACTGCAAGCGTCGCACAAGCCTGAATTGCGCCTCCAGACATGGCGCTCGCCCGACACTGTGCGTCGTAACGCTGCTGCGTCATGAACGATGAGTCTGTTCTCACTTACGTTAATTCTCTGTATGCGTGTGTCGAAGCAGCCCATTTCCTGGCGCACTCCAGCAACGTCAACTGTCTGCGATTCGGCCGCAAGTCGGTATGAAGGCGTCTGACGGCCCTGCCGTTGTGTAGAATATCTGTGGGCTGAATTTGTGGGCATTTGCTGATTATAGGGACAAGTTGCTGCGACTGGTGGCGACGATAACTTAGTGAATCTTTGGCGGCTGCGCGAGAAGGAGACGAAGAACATCATGGTGCGAGGCAACTACATGTATTAATATTGTACTTTGAAGTTGCATTTTTTGTTGGTTAGTTTGCTAATACTCAAACCATCGACATATGTATGATGTGCCAATAGAGCTTGTCAGGCCACCAGAGCGCTGTCGAGAGCATCGTGTTTGACCCAGCAGAGCACAAGGTGGTGGCAGGCTCCCAAGCAGGCTCGATCAAAGTGTTTGACCTGGAGGCTGGCAAAGTGGATCGGACGCTGAAAGGGCATATGGCGTCGACTACTACCGTGGACTTCCACCTTTACGGTGACTATGTGGCCTCTGGTTCAAGAGATACAATTGTGAAGGTGTGGGACCTGCGGACCAAGAGTTGCATGCAAACATTTAAGGGGCATTCGTCGGAGGTGACAGCCGTGAGCTTCACTCCGGATGGACGCTGGCTTACTTCAGGTGATCAGGAGGGTGTCATCAAAATCTGGGATCTTACAGCTGGGCGCCTTCTTCACGAGTTTCCTGACCACGGTGGAGCTATCACCAGTCTTGAATTCAACCCGGAGGAATTTATTTTGGTATCTTCTGCTGCCGACCGCACCGTGAGATTCTGGGATGTTCAGGAATTCGCTTTGATAGGCGTCACACCTGTAGATAACGCTGCGGTACGTCGAAGTCCATTTGGCGAACTACGCTACAGTCATTTTCACAAAATACTTTACAATTGCTCTCCATGGCAATACTTAGACTACATCAATGAGCCACACAGTTACAGAGCCGTACAGCGGCAAGTATCTCTTTTGCTGCTCACAGGAAGCGATTCGAGTATGGTCGTACGAAACTGCTATCGAGGTTAGTAGCTCGATGCTTTGAAATAGTTTTGTGCTTTGCCTTACCGCACGGTTGGAGTATATCAGTGCCACGACAGTGTAATGATGCCGCGCCAGAAGGAGTTAGGCCATGTGGAGATTCATGCAGACACAACGATGACACAGGATATGAAGCTGATGGGCGGATGCATTCAGGATGCTTTCGTCTCCGTGTGGGTACTAGACGTGAGGCAGATGCGACCATTTAGCCGCACAAGCAGCAACAATACCGACCATGGAGCAACAGAGGCAAGAGGCACGAGCAAGCCACTATCTGTAAGAGACCCAACCCCATCCGCGCCGGAGCCTGTTGAACAACCCGTGGCTAAACCTGTTGACACACCAACTACACATCTACCTGCTTCACGAAGCGCATCTCGAGAATCCGGTAATGGAAGCTCCAACGGTCCCGTCGGTGCTTTTCGGACAGAAACTCGTGTACAAAGAGAGCACGTTTCTTGTGATATCAGCAATGTTGCTTGTGCACGCCCAGCTACTCCTGGAGTCTTAGTCTCTCCACTACCAGCAGAGTCAACTCCACGTCCAGTACGTCAAGCAGAAGATTCTCGTCAATCAGGTATGTTTTGAGTCGAATTATTCATGACACATCAACTGACATGTTAGTTGTAGCCGAGGCGACACGCCCAGTTTGTGCAAGACTGGACACTCCAGCGCCAGCAGAGGACTTACCGTCACAAAGGAAGGAGCAAGATGTAGTTACATCGGACTTCGTGATGGAGCTTCGCTGTGGAATGGACACATGCATAAAGGCGTTCAAGGCTCGACAGAAGTGCGTACAGCAGCTACTGGTTCACTGGGGAAAGGGACATTTGCACGATGGTCTCCGATATATTGGCGAATTACCGAAAGGAAAGCGCGAGGCTGTCCTCGTGGATGTGCTGCGTATCACAGACTTAAAACTATTAGGGGTCGATCTGGAGGCTTGCGTGCTGCTCCTTCCGCTTATCGTGGAGATCTTGGAGAGCAAGTTTGAGCTGTGAGTAGACTATGTTGCCTTGTTGTCATGGTTTTGATCCTGACGAACAGCGTGTACTCTTTGTTATGTTCCAGATATTTAAGCATTGGCATTGATTCGGGACGCAAACTCTTCGATGCATTTTCGCCCATGGTCAAGAACGCTCGGGATGCACGACAATACCGTTCGCGGGCGATTAATCTCGCAGGAGAAGAACGGTAGGAACACAGTCGATGTCGTGATGTGTTGGTAGGTCTGACGCTCGGTGTGTTTTGCTGCGCACGCTTGACAGAGCTCAACGGTGCAACACTTGCGACGTTTATTTCCAGGAGATGGAACAGCGCGTGCAGCAGCTAGTTGAGACCTGCAGCTACTCATCCCTGCAAAGCAAGATCAATACTCTCGCACGAGCACTCGGCGACCACTTTAGTCATTAATCCAGATCTAGGAGGGCTTGGTCACCAATAAGCGACCGACGGCTACCTCAGTGGTAAGAAATTGTGAAATGAGCAAGGAACTTCGACATTATCGACCCAGTGATTCAAGGAATACACTTCCTTTAACAGTCCATCGTTAACAATGATAACCTGGCTATCCCCAGTAAAAGAAACCACGGGACACCAATTGAGCTTCGCAACACCGGTTACTTTATACTTCTTCGGTGTAATATAGCAATGACACTGCGTACTCGCCATATCTGAACATCAATCAGTCAGACAAAAAGAGAACGCACGACCTACAGCTTAGACGTCGATCGCACCACCGTGGCCGATATGATGCCATGTGGCTCGTCTGTCGGCAGGAACACCTCGCCGTGGGGGTGGATGTTCTTGCAGCCAAAGCGAGACAGGTCAATGGGATTGTTGTGGATGTTGGGCATCGTGATCTTGATATCCTTAACATACGGGCATCTCTCCAGCACAGCCTCGCCCATTTTGTACAGCGTAAACTGCACAGCAGGACTGGGCACGCCAACATCAGCTGGGCCTGCGAAGGTCGCGAGTAGTACGTTCTTGATCTCCGCAGATCTGGCGATGAAGTCTCCGCCGATGGCATCGGAAGTGTAGTTCCACGTGGCCATGACACACGTGCTGACGAGGCGGGCGGGTACGTCAGGCAGCGTCGTGTACGCATCACGAAAGAAGTCAACAAAAGAACTCTGCGTGGTTTTTAGCACTTTAAGGCCATCCACACCGCCTTGCACCGTCACTTCCGGGGCGCCATGCGTCGAGTTGCGAGCCACCACACTGCGGATAGGAAGAAGGGAAAGAGCAACACGTGACAGTTAGTACATGCAGCTCGGCAACAAGTTATTGAGACCGACGTACTAGGCGGTGGAGAATCCGGAACTGGCACTGACAAAGGCGTGATGATGCGGACGTGTCTTACCCTTTGAGTCGGGCACCACCACGCGCTCCCACGGCGTCTCGATGAGCTTCACCTTGGCCACGCTGATCTGGTAAAAGTGTCCACAATAGGCACAGTTAGCTGAATGTAGCACGCTACTAGCGTCATTCATACTTTAAAAATGATCGACGTACAATGTCTGGGTGCCTGGTGACGAAGTGCTGCGCTAGGATGACGCCAAAATCCTCTAGCGATGCGAACTCGTGCTTCTTTGCCAACACCCACACCGTATTCTTGACCGAGTCCGTGGGCAGCACGTGACCATTGTCGCCCTCGTAGTAGGCGCTGGCGGCGAGCGCACCCTCCAGTAGCACTTCCGCCTCCAGCTGAATCACCGAGTGCTTCTCGGGCGTGCGAGTCACCTTGAGCATGCGCACGCGGCCCTTGCCGTGCTCGTGCTGCACGAGCTTGACAACCATCGCGGAGGAGAAAACGGGGGAAAGCTCCTGCTGAGCTGCTGCTGGCTGAATGCAAATCGCTGAATGACCAAGTTGTTGCGACCGTTGGCGATGTTGAAATTGACGTCATATGGATGAATAATATTCTCTCTGCCGGAAAAACCACTATATTATAGTGGTTTTTCCGACAGAGAGGTTTTTAGTAAAATATTAGAGTGGCTCCGACAGAGAGGTTTTTAGTAAAAACTTTTACGATTGTGTGCGTCGTTATTTTTTAATAACGACGGCTCCTAGTTCCCACCCTTTTAGCCAATTAAATCACGCTGGTTAGGGTTTGAATTTCGACGACTCCGACAGCAGAATCTGTAGACATTATCGAGAATATGACAAATAGGCAAAGTCCTAGTACAAGCAGCGAAAAGTGTTGTCCCTCTTCGATCAACCACACAAACCCCCTTGTAAAAAAGCATACCGCAGATGAGCCTTTCGGCGTTTATCCCAACCAACACGCAAAAAGCGCGCACCGCCGGAGTCAGCGCCTTTGAGCGTATGCTTAAGTCCGAAAATGTGTCCATGGACGTGGTCCAATCCAGCATTCATTCTGGCTAGACCTGCAAAACGTTGGCGGCCGTGATGGACCGCTTCGGCTACTACTTGGCCACTCGTGAAGGTAAGAAAAAAAAACTGGCGCATAACACGACCATCTCATACTATAGAAGCGTTAAGCTTTGGTTCTTCGATGAGTACCCACACCAACGGAGCTGATCCTACTCAAACAGGAAAAGACCCTAGAAAAGCATTGCCCAAAACGTGATAATGGTTTTTTTTAGGCTCCGTTTGGATCCGGGTCTAGAATAAATTACAATTTCACTCAAAATGGTATCCTAGGATTGCAATCCATTACTGGTGTTTTGGCGTGTTTGGCACCCCGAGCTAGCTTTCAGAAACTTCAGTGATCACAATCGCCGAATTTATTGTGTTTGTGCATCCAAACACAAAAAAAAATATTCTATGCAACCCCTTCACAGCTGATTTGACGCAAGTAAAACAATGAACGAGCGCGAAGAACAGATCGAAGACGAACAGAGCGACGACGAGCTGGAACCGACTGCACAAGTGCTCGCGCTAACTGCCGCCTACTACGGCGCCACATATTACTGCAAGGAAGATTGCCACACGTCTTCACTGACCGGCGCCGGCTGGGTCGCCGAGCTAGAGGAGGGCCACCCTTTGCGCATCTTTAGAAACTTTCGAGTGACCAAGGAAGTGTTTGAGCGCTTATGTACTGAAGTGGAAGAAGCTGTACCTGCCTCTCCGTGGGCGCGTGTTGAGGTGAAAGAGAGCGTGGCAATGTTTCTCTACTGTCTTTCGAAGAACGCGTCCAACCGCGACCTAATGGAGCGCTTCCAGCACAGTGGGGAAACTGTGCACAGGTAGGTCTATTCTGTGATGTGTGGCAAGCATGAAATTGACAATGTAAATTAATCACAGGCACTTCCACAGTGTTCTGAAGGTCGTGTGTTCTCTCGCAAAGAAGTACATCGTACAGCCCAAGACACCGTCTAATGAATTGGCAAAAAATCCAAAATATGCGTCGCAGTTCGACAAGTGTCGCCTTGCGTTTGACGGTACACATATTCCTGCCTATGTTCCAGAAAAAGATGCAAAACCTTTTCGTGATCGAACAGGGCGTTTAAGCCAGAACGTGTTTGCAGCTTGCACATTTGACATGCAGTTTGCTTTTGTCTTAGCCGGATGGGAAGGTAAATTTGTACCATGCTACTATGTGTTCTGTCAACACTTATTATTTTGTATTGTTTTCACAACATGCAGGCTCTGCTGCTGACTCTACGGTACTGGAAGATGCGCGTCGAAAAGGATTCGCCACTCCTTCCGAATTGTTTGACTTGGGTGATGCAGGGTATGGCCTAACAACGGAGGTTCTTACACCATACCGGTGTGTACGTTATCACCTTCGTGAGTGGGGTCAAGCAAACGAACGGTACGACATGAGATGTTATGAGCTCAAATATCACTGTTGAAACTAACTTTTGGTTTCTTAGACCACAGAATTATAAGGAGTATTACAATTTGCGTCATGCACAAGCTCGCAACGTCATCGAACGCGCTTTTGGTGTGGTAAAGCGACGGTTTCCGGTATTGACAACGCCACCTGAGTTTAGCATCACAACGCAAGCTGAAATCGTGTTGGCTTGCTGTGTTCTACACAACTTTATTCGCATTCAAAATGATCCAAATGACGATCCTGAGGGTGAAGTATACGGGCCTGATGACTTGCAGGACAACTCTACTAGCAGTGGAATTACGGACACCAACGCTGGAACAACAGCTCAGCAAAGGCGTGCAAAAACGAAAGAGGCAAATTCTTTTCGGGATAGAATTGCAAAAGCGATGTGGGACTCCTACACGAACTATGCGTCGGACTTGACGTAAACTCATTTAAGTAATGCAAACGTTTGGGACGTACCACCTTCCGTAGACAACTCAATGTCTTTAATCGCTCGAACTCACCTGGTTTGCGAGCCAAATATCGCGAACCTCTCCTTCTTCCATCACCACAAAGAGCCTAGCCTTGTTTTCGTCCAGCATGACATCAAATGCTTGTGCCATTTCGAACGCAGAGAAGCGCTCAGCATAAGTCTTCTGGAGGACTTTTATAGCCTTCTGCGAGGGGGTCAATGTTTTCATTCGAGCAGTGCGATTCCGCATTTCGGTCGCAACATCGTTGATAGCATCAGCAATCAAAGCGCCACCGCTTTCACGGTTGCGTTTACGACTTCCTTTCTGATGGGAATCATTCTTGTTGCCGCCCCTCAGGTCTCCCCGATCTGTTGACGTAGCTGATGTGGCTGTTGCCTCGTTTGGAAGCGTCGGAGGAGCGGGAGCTGGATTTGAATCCCCTGTACTTGCTGTAAATTCTCCTCGTACCTCAGGAACGTTTGTATCTGTGTCGAAATCGATTGGCTCGTCAGAACTGAGTGCGTGCTCTCCAGTAGCGTATGTCCCTTCAAAGAGATCTACGAGGTCTTCGTAGTAAGGGACGGCTTTTTTTCGGAAGTTGATGGCTTTGGGGTGTTCCTTACACCATAAGTTCAGGTAAGATGTCCAATTAGCACAGAATGTAGTTTCGAATCCTTACCGAGACGTAACGATCCCATACGTCGTCGTGCACGAGTACAACATTGTGGTTGGTATCCCATCCAAAGCCCGAAACTCGCAACATGTGAGAAATTGTGGTATACTTGGACTTTAGCTGTGGTCATCACAAGGTTAAGATCACATATGAACACCGTAAATTCTGAAGAACGTATTACCGTTTGGACGCGGGTCTTGATTTGCTGAATTGTGAGCTCTTTGTTGAATCGTTCGTTCATCGACTCATGTACTGCCACCCATGCTTCTTTCTTGAACCCAGAGTCCGCACGTTTCCCAGCTTTTTCTTGGTCCGTCATGGCTTCAACCAGGAAAACGTCCATGTCTAAATCCCAAGAAGCACGTGCGGCAGCGCTAGAAGAACGGGCTGACATTGTATCTGCGAATGAAGTACGAATCGTTATGAGGACCACAGTAAGTGACATGGGATGTACAGGTTGCGTATGGATAGGTAGTTACGTACGGAAGATGGCGCGCTTTGTTGTTTGTCAGTTCAATGTTTTTTGCCGTCGCTACACCTCGCGCCGTGACTCAAGTTCAAAGGTTTCCTTTGCTTTCTGGTGAGGTAATTCTGCTTAGAGTAGAATATTACGAATTTGCATTTCAGTTGATTATTACAATCAGGCAACCCGCGTTTGGACACAACTGATTTACTCGAATATTCTGATCGGCAATTGTCATTTGCAGAACTTGCGATTGCGGTGCATGTTTGGATCTTCAATTACGAATATGATTCTATTTTTGTTGAGATTACAATCGAGCTTTGATTATTGCAATTTGTTTGTGGAACCAAACAGAGCCTTAACTAACAAGGTGTGGTGAAGTGCTTTCTCAGAAATAAGAGAATGGGCCTGACGCGGGGTCACTATCCCGAATCAGTGACAATTTCAAGTGATTAGAGAGGATTTGGGTTGGTGGCACGGATGCAAGTTGCCTGTGGTGGATTAGCCATGACGAGCGGCACCCCGTATGGAATGACGATGAATCTAGTATGAGCGATGTACGGGAAGACAAGATCCACCAAGACTTATCTCGGATCCACCCTTACCTGGATTCACTTAGGTGGATATGGGATACACTATGTACCAGTGGATCGAGTGGGGATCCTATGAAGGAATGGTGGTAGGTGTCATCCGAAGGTGGATCTAATAGCCACGGCTAACGAGGAGTCAAGATCCACCGCGAGGTACCCCGGATCCCATACCTCCAAGTTCGGATCCATGGAGGAAGGATCCCGCCTTGAGGGACCTGGATCCAGGGTATAGGGATGTAAATGCAGAAGGTTGCAAGATGATGTTGAATGATTGGAGAGCTCGGATCCACGGCGAGTGTACAATTACAGCGAGGTGGATCCAAGCGACCTAGATCCGGATGAGTGTACCCACAACAGGGTGACCATGATGATTACGTCATATATCCGGTGGATCTGAAGATAACACAGCTGGGATGATGGGTCAAGGGAAGAAGGGACATGCAGCCGAGCCTGGTAAGGGATTTAGCAGATGAAAGACATAGAGGGTAGAAATCCAGGCAGGTATAGGCTTAAATATCAATACAGACCTCAATTTGCACAGTATCACGCAAGTGCCTTCCTGCCCTCAAGAACCGGAACTACATTGGCCGTACGAGCTCGGAGAAGGTTAATCGCGAATCTAGTGTTGGTAGTGATAAGTGGATAATACGTTGGCCAGATCCTACAACCTAGTGAGCTTTTCCTTTACTTGTGCAGATCCGACAGGTTAACCGAATTTACTACTTGGTCGGTTACACCCTAGAGGCTCTCAACTTTCAAGATCCCGTCACAGGAGGCGGCAAGTACGACGCAAAGGAGCTACAAAGGCAAGTAAACACACCCGCAAGGCAACCCTACGGCCAGATCCACGATCTAGGCCCCGGATCCA